CTGAGCTCTATGGGCCAAGCGCTTTGAGTGAAGGTTGGTTTAGTTCTGCATTGTAGTACTGAATGTAGAGTAATGTAGAGTATAGAACTGTGATTGATATTGTGTATTTTTGCTTTGCAGCTGAAATGGATCAGTTCCTGAACACTGCTGGAGGAGCGGCCATCCCCAAGAAACCAAGGAAGAAGTCAAAGACTTCAACCAAATAAGTGGATGAGGGGAGGACAAGGAAAGAGGCAGTGTTTGCGGCTTCAGTTGAGACAGAGGAGGAGGTGCCACAGCTGAAGAGGAAGGGCTGGGAGGAGAGGAGGGCACTGCAGAAGAAGCAGAGGGTGGTGGAGGAGGAGACGGGGAATGAGGTCTCTATGTTCGTACCTCAGCCTTCTCTTGTTGAGCTTGACCCTTAGCTCAGACAGTTGGAGGAGGGGGCTGAGGTACGAGCTCCTGGTAAGGGAAAGGGCCCTATTCCCCCACTGGGGCCTCAGAGCAGCCTGTTCGAGGCGAAGAACATAACGGGGGCCAGGTGGTTCATCAACAACACCTTCCCCGAGGTGGACCAAAGCAACGCACAGGAGGAAGCTCTGAGGTATGGTGGAGCGTTCGTGGTGAAGCATGTTCTAGAGGTAAGTTAAAGTATTAATGTTGTTTAGTTAATCTGTGTCGCCTTTTCTTCGTTCTTTTTTTAAACTTCAGTTTTGATCTGCAGAGTGCGAGCTCGGTGAATGGTCTAGCCCAGGAATTCAGGGAGAGCCTGAAGGGTCATGCACTCTTGCAGAGGCAGCGGGACCAGCTGCAGAAGGAGAAGGAGGAGTTGGAGAAGAAAAATAAGGAGCTGCAAGAGTCCTGAACGAGGTGGTTCCAACCGTTTCACAGTTGGAGCAGGAGAGGGCTTCCCTGAGCACCAAGCTCACTTTTGAGGAGAGCAAACGAAGGATCGTTGAAAGCAAGCGTGAGGCTCAGGCGCAAGAAATGAAGCTGATGACAGAGGCATTCAAGGAGCTGAAGGGGAACATGCGGAAGTTAGTGCATAATGGGATGAAGGAGCACATCAGCAACTTCATCAGTTCCAACTCCTTTGATAGCATCGTCAACCTGTATCGGCTGCCCACTGCCATCATCGCTTTTACAGACTGCAGAAAGAAGGTGAAGGCTGAATATCCCGAAGTGGATGTGATGAAGATCACCTTCGGCGAGCAAGAAGGAGGAGTGGATGAGGATGGCGAGAGCATGTCAGCAGACTTCCGTCCTCTGATTAAGCTGAGGTGGGAGGATGATGCAGACGGTCTTGCTGTTTTTCCTCCACAGTTCGACTTCGAGTTCGTTGTAGTGGAGGAAGAAGGGGCAGAGGTAGAGGAGGGCGAGATGGAGGCAGGAGTGGAGGGAACTGAAGTGGGTGAGGTCCAACTAGTTCCAAAAGTGGAGATTCATCCAGTTCCTTCTGACGATGAGCAGCCTCCTCTGCCAGATGAGCAGCAGCCAACTCAGCCACCTCCTCCAACTGAGTAGAAGCCAGTGGAGCCACCTCTCCCATCAGAGAAATAATTTTGTTTTTTGATTTTTTGTAAAGACAATTAAACAGTTTGTAATATTTATGTTATTCTGAATGAAAATTCATTTTTTAAATTATGTGTTTATTTATGTTTGCCTACTGATTATTATATATTGATAGAAGAACTGAGACTACTTTAAAAAAGAAAGTTAATAAAAAGAAGTTAATCAGTTCAGAAACGAACTACAGAGAAAAAAACCTCTTCAAGTGAGTTAAGAACAAGTACATCACTGTAAATGAATAGAGGGGAAATAAAGCACTTCATATGTGAAGTGACATTTATTAATCAGAGGTGAGGTTCAAGAAATGAAAGAACTAATTGACCTCGGGTACATAGAATAAGCAGTAAAATGAATCTCAACAAACACGAAGTGAGAAGCGTAAAGAACAGTAAGACCTAGAACACTTGAAAGAATTTTATTAAGGGTAAAATTTCTTCAAGTTATTGACATTCCAGACTCTAGGAACTCTCTTTCCTTCAGCGTCTTGGAAAATATAGGCATCAGGATGTGGCACTTCGGCCACGGCATAAGGGCCTTCCCAATTTGGGGCAAGTTTGCCAAAACGAGTTTCAAACCCCGTTAGGCCAGCTTTTTTGAGAACAAGGTCTCCTACTTTGAAAGTTCGAGGGCGGACCCATTTATTGTAGAAGTTGGCTAGCTTCTGCTTGTATACAAGAGTTCGAAGCCGAGCTTCTTCTCTGACTTCGGCAAGCAGATCAAGGTTTTCCCGAAGCAGTTGTCCATTTCACCCTTCATCGAAATGGGTGACCCGGAAGCTTGGGACTCCTATTTCAATAAGAATGACTGCTTCGGTACCAAAGGCCAAGTGGTAGGGTGTTTTACCTATTTCAGTTGATTATAACTTTAGAATGCGCTTTATGCATTATGCATATTTGCTCTAAGGTAAAGTATAACAGAAAAAGTAAAATAATATAGAAATTATTCAAATAAACTCGGTTTAAAGTAGTACCTGTGGCAGTTCGGCTCGTGGTTCTGTATGCCCAGAGGACGTTGTTGAGCTCATCTGCCCACTTGGCCTTATGCTGTTCTAATATCGGCTTTATACCTTCTAAAATGCATTTGTTAATATATTCAACCATGCCATTGGACTTCGGATGGTAAACGGAGGTGAACTGTAACTTAATCCCATAACTGGAATAGAAATCTCGGAATGAGGAGCAATTGAATTGAGTTCCATTATCAGCCACAATCTGATTTGGGATCCCATATCTGCAGATGATCGAGCTGAAAACAAAATCTTCGACCTTCTTAGAGGTAAGACTAGATAAAGGCCGAGCTTCTACCCAATTTGTGAAATAATCCACACCAACAGCCAGATGGGTTACACCTCCAACCCCTTTCACGAATGGGCCTAAAAGATCCAATCCCCACTGAACAAATGGCCACGGTGCTACCATGTTCGTGAGTTCCTCTGCCAGTTGATGAGTCAGATGTGCGAAGAATTGACATTTCGGGCATTTCTGAACAAAGTAAGTGGCATCTTTATGCATGTTTGGCCAGTAATATCCTTGCCTTAAGACTTTATGAGCCAGAGTCCTAGCACCGACATGGTTCCCACAGACACCTTCATGCACCTCTCGAAGTGCATATTCAGCTTCATAGGGGTTTAAACACCGTAGAAAAGGAAGTGAGAAGATCTCTTATACAGGACCCCATCAACGAGGGTATACCGAGATGCTTTCTTTCTCAACTTCATTGCCTCCTGCCTGTCTTCAGGTACTATCCCATCTCGCAAAAAGGAGACGATTGAATCAGTCCAGCTCGGCGTGTCTGGGTTTGTGCTAATCTCCATCACCCGAGGCTTCATGAAGCTTGGTTCATCTAAGATCTCTACAAAAACGGATCTGGAACTTAAAGAGCTGTCAGAGGCGAACTTGGAGAGTGAATCTGCCTGTTCATTCTCAGCTCGGGGGATTTTACTCAGACAGAATTTCTGGAATCTGCACTTCAGCTCGGCCACCAAGGCTACATACTTCACCATTATGGGATCAACAACTTCACAAATTGAGTTAATTTGGTTTACCACCAACTGGGAGTCACTGTATACTTGAATTGCATTGATTTTCAACTCCAATGCTAGTTGTAGACCAAGTAGCAAAGCTTCATACTCAGCCATATTATTTGTCGCATCAAAGTTGAACTTCAGGGCATGTTCGCTTCGGTATCCTTCTGGACCAATCAAGAGAGCGCCAGCCCCTGAACCCTTGCTACTAGATGCTCCATTAACATATAAGGTCCAGTCGTTGGGCTCTGGAGTAGAGGTTGAAGGACATGGGGTGCATTTGACAATGAAATCTGCTAGTGCTTGAGCTCGGATTGCGGATCTTTATTGAAACGTTATCTCAAACTCCCCCAGTTCTACTGCCCACTTAATTAATCTTGCAGAACATTCTGGTTTCTGCAGAATCTGTCGGAGAGGTTGATCTGTGAGAACGATGATTGGGTGTGACTGGAAATATGGCCTCAATTTCCTTGCCGAAGTGACAACTGCTAGTGCTGCTTTCTCCGCTATAGGATATCTCAGGTCTGCTCCGTGTAATACACTGCTGATATAATAGATTGGTTTCTGTTGCTTGGCTTCCTCTCTCAACAGAACTGAACTAATGGCCTCTTTTGAAATCCCCAGGTACAAGTAAAGAATCTCTCAATCGACAGCCTTAGTCAGTAGAGGTGGTGAGCTAAGATAAGACTTTAGCTCGTCGAATGCAGCCTGGCACTCCTGACTCCATTCAAATTTCTTCTGTTTTCCTGATTCATCCTTCTGGGCAGCCGACCCCATGATCTTGAAGAATGGCAGGCACTTATCTGCTGACTTCGATATGAATCGATGAAGGGCTGCCACTCTTCCAGTCAACCTTTGTATATCTTTTACTGATTTCGGTGGTTCCATCTCGGCAATTGCTCTAATTTTTTCTTGATTAACCTCAATCCCTCTTCGGGACACCATGAAACCCAGAAACTTTCCAGACTCCACGCCGAAAATACATTTTGTTGGGTTCAACCGCATCTTGTTCTTTCTGAGGTTGTTGAAGGTTTCATCAAGATCGGCTAGATGGTCTTCTGCTTTTCGACTCTTTACTACAATGTCATCGACATACACCTCTAGATTCTTGCCGATCTGAGCTAGGAAGACGATGGTCACCATTTTCTGATAAGTAGCACCAGCGTTCTTTAAGCCAAACGGCATCATGACATAGCAATAAATTTCATCGCCAGTATAGAACGAGGTTTTCTCTTCATCTTCGGGAGCCATTGGCACCTGGTGATACCCAGAATATGCATCCAAGAGGCTTAACCTCTCATTGCCTGAAGCCGCTTCAACTAATTTGTCAATGCTAGGCATCGGATAGCAATCCTTGGGGCAAGCGTGGTTAAGATTTGTATAATCAAGCATATTTGCCATTTACCATTTGCCTTCTTCACCAAGACTGGGTTAGCCACCCATTCACAGTAATCAACTTTCCTGACAAAACCAGCCTGTAGGAGCTTCTCCACCTCTTCTTTAATAGCCTGAAGCCTCTCACCCCCGAAGAGACGCCGCTTCTGGGCCACTGGTTTCTTCAATGGGTTGGTACTGAGCTTATGTTGACATACTGAATTTGGAATTCCTGGCATATCTGCCGAAGTCCATGCGAATACATCATTATTGACTCGGAGAAAAGCTATTAACTCTGCCTTTTCCTTTGGGTTCAATCTAGTTCCAATCTGTGTCTTTCGGCTCGGATCTCTGTCATCAACGAGCACTTCTTCAACATCTTCGACTGAAGCAGCTCTGGCTTCATCATCCGGTCGATTATCGACGATCTCTACACCCATAACTTGCTGATTATCAGGAATTCGCTAGGGAATGGCCTCGGGTGTCTGATCTTTGCCCTTCGTTGGTTGTGTTACTGAGGTGATATAACAATGTCTGGCCACCTCTTGGTTTCCTCGCAGTGTTGCTATTCCCATAGGAGTTGGGAACTTCATGCAAAGGTGAGATTAGGAAACCACAGCTCGGATTTCAGTCAATGTGGGTCGGCCAATGACAATGTTGAAAGAGGATGCCATCTTGACGACGAGGGACCGAACTGAAGGGGTTACATAGGTTCGGCCACTCCCAAAAGCCACATGGAGGGTAAGAACTCCTTCTACCGGAACAAGTTGGTTGTTGAAACCATATATAGGACCATCATATTTCTGCAACAATGCTGGATCTAGTCCCAGACTCTCAAAACAGTGGAAGTACATGATGTCTGGTGCACTCCCAGTGTCAACAAGGACACGCTGTACTTCATAGTTATTGATCATGACAGAAGTGACCACAGGATCATTGTGGGGTGTAACAACTGTGTTGAGGTCAGCAGATGTGAAAGTAATGGGTTGATTCTTCCACTCAGCATCGTCAATCTTCCACTTCTAAGCTCGGTTCTGATGCTTAACCTCTCTAACATACAGCTTTCGCTGTTTAGGCTCAGCCCCCCTGCTTCAAGGCCTCCCGTAATCATGTGTATGATTCTAGCTGGTGGTGGGAGCGGAGGTGGGGCTTGTTGATATCCCACACCTTGTCTATTTGGGGGATTGCGGGCTCCTTGAGGCTGCGGCCTCTGCTCTCTGACAAACCTCGGTTGTTCAGCTCTCTGAACATACTCATTCAGCGTTCCTTTCTGAGCTAAACTCTCCAGTTCGGACCTTAAATAGTTACACTGCTCTGTAGTATGGCCGTGATCTTGGTGAAAATCACAATATCTGGTATGGTCTCGACTAGCAGCAGCAGTTCGCATTGGGCCATGACGTCTCAAGTCCATTTTGTCCTTAATCTGCATAAAAATATGTGACCTTGGCAGATTAAAGGGAGTCCAATTAACTGGAGGTTTACCTGCAAATTGTTGCGGGGGTGTGGAGTTCGGCCTTCCGAATCTCGGTGGGGAGGTCAACACTGGACCTCGGTTCTGCGCCATCCTCATCCTTTTCCGGCTCGGATTGTCATCTCTCCACTCTGGGTTCTGGTTCTTAGTGGGAGTCGGATTCTGCGCCAGGGCATACTCCTCAGCGGTTATAAACTTCAGAGACCTATCGTTCACCTCGCTGAAGGTGGTGGCAGCATGTTTGATCAAACTGTCTCTGAACCTGTCATGCTTAAGACTGGAGATCACAGCTGCAATCCCCACAGCTTGATCAAAGGAACTAACCTCCAATACCGCATCATTGAACCTGCTCATATAGTTCTTGAGAGATTCTCCATCCCTCTGTTTAATTCTCATCAGCTCAGAAGTAGTTTTCCTAATCAACCTTCTACTGGAAAACTTAGTGGCAAAGGCAGATGCCATTTCTGTATACGAGCTAATTGACCTCGGAGGTAAACTGTAATACCAAGTTCGGGCGTTACCTCAAAGAGTAGAGGGGAAGATTTTGCACATCAACGCGTCAGAGGCGTTCTGAGCTTGCATACAAGAGTAGAAAGCATGCAGGTGGTCATCGGGATCCTTCGTCCCGTTGTAAGTCTCCAGTTGTGGTATTTTGAAGCCAGCAGGATAGGGTTCTAGAGTAATGTTGGTATTCAGAGGGTGAGGTATAGAATCAACAGCATGGTGTGGGGGTGGAGCACCTCGGTGTTCAGCTACTAGCTTTTCCAAGCTATCGAGACGGCGAGTAACATCATCGGGGATGGGTTGTTGAGCGGGTGCTATATGGGATTGACCCTGAGATTCACTAATAGCGGGAG